TGCTGATGGAATTTTGATGGAGATTGCATTAAATTTGTATAATGCTTTAGGTAATAAGGTCATTTTAACTATGTTGTTTCTTTCAATCCAAGAACATGGAATATCTTTCCATTTCTTTATACCTTCTTTAACTTCTTATAATAGGGTCCTATAGTTTTTATTATATAGGTCTTTCACATGTTTTATTCTTTTTGTTGAAATTTCAAAAGGGATTAATTTTTCCACTTCTTTTTCTGACACTTCATTATTAGCGTATAGGAATGCTATGGATTTTTGAACATTGATTTTTGATCCAGAAACTTTACTGTATTTGTTTATTGTTTCTAGTAGTGTTCTTGTGGAGTCTTTAGAGTTTTCCATGTAGAGAATTATGTCATCTGTAAATAGTGACAGTTTGACTTCTTCATTTCCTATTTGGATGTCTTTTATATCTTTCCCTTGCCTGATTGCACTCACTAGCACCTCCAATGTTATACTGAATAACAGTGGTGATAGTGGACAGCCTAGCCTTGTTCATGATCTTAGAGGAAAGGTTTTTAGTTTTTCACCATTAAGTATAATGTTGACTGAAGGTTTGTCATATATGGCTTTTATTATGTTAAGGTACTTTTCTTCTATACCAATTTTGGTAGGTGTTTTGTTCATAAATGGATACTGTATCTTGTCAAAAGCTTTTTCTGCATCTATTGATAGGATTATATGATTCTTATTTTTTAATTTGTTCATGTGGGATATTTCATTAATCAATTCGTGTATGTCGAACCATTCCTGTGCCCCTGGATGAAGCCCACTTGATCATGGTGTAAAATTGTTTTAATATGTTGCTGTATTCAGTTCGCTAGTATCTTATTTAGGAGTTTTGCATCAGTGCTCATGAGAGATATTGGTCTGTAGTTTTCTTTTTTCTTTGTTATCTTTAACTGGTTTTGGTATCAGAGTAATATTGGTTTCATAAAATGAGTTAGGAAGTATTGCCTCCTCTTCAATTTTTTGGAAGTGTTTGAGGAGAATAGGTATTAAATTTTCTTTGAATGTTAGGTAGAAGTCACCGATGGAGCCATCTGGTCCTGGACTTTAATTCTTGGAAGATTTTAACGTATGTTTCAATTTCCATACTGCTGATCAGTCTATTTAGATTTTCTAGTTTTTCTTGATTCAGTCTAGGAAGGTTATATCTTTTAAGTACTTATCCATTTCTTCTAGGTTATTAAATTTGGTGCAGTACTTTTTCATAGTATTTTTGTATGTTCCTTTGTATTTCTGTGGTGTCTGTAGTAATTTCTCCTTGTTCATCCCTGATTTTGTTTATTTGTGTCTTTTCTCTTTTTTCTTTAGTGAGTCTAGCCAAGGAGTTTGTCAATTTTATTAAACTTCTCAGAGAACCAGCTCTTTTTGTGCATTTATTTTTCTATTGTTTTGTTTGTTTGTTTGTTTTCAATTTCACTTAATTCTGCTCTAATTTTGAATATTTCTTTCCTTCTGCTGATTTTAGGCTTCATTTGTTCTTTCTTTTCTAGCTTTTAAGATGATATGTTAGGTTGTTTATTTGGGCTTGTTTTTGTTGAATTAGGTCTGTAATGATATGAATTTTTCTCTTATTACCGCTTTTGCCATGTCTCAAAAGTTTTAATATGTTGTACTATCATTATCATTTTTTTCTATGTGTCCCTTGGTCTCTTTATTTATTCACTGACCCAGTCATTCTTCAGTAACAATGTTGTTTAATTTCCATGTATTTGTGGTTCTTCTCGCTTTCTTTTTACTGTTGATCTCCAGCTTCAAATCATTACGATCAGAGAATATGGTTGGTATGATATCAAACCTCTTATATTTGTTGAGGCTATCTCTGTGTCCCAGTATGTGGTCAAACCTTGAGAATGTTTCATGTGCATTAGAGAATAGTGTATAAGCAACTGTTTTGGGATCAAAGGCTCTGTAAATGTCAATTATGTCCAGTCTGTCTAATGTGTAATTTAAGGATATTATTTCCTTATTGATTTTCTGTGTGGAAGATCTGTCCATATCTGACAATGGGGTATTTAGGTCTCTCACTGTGATTGTGTTTTGGTTTGTTTTTCCCTTTAGTTATGTTAGTAATTACTTTATATATTTCGGAGTTCCTTGATTGGGAACAAAGATATTAATAAGTGTTATATCTTCTTGGTACATGATTCCCTTTATCATTATGAAGTATACCTCAGTATCTTTCTTTATCTTTTTTATTTTGGAGTCTATTTCATTCGATATTAGTACCGTTGCTCCCTCTTTTCTCTGAATGTCATTTTCCACTCTTTCACTTTGAGTCTATATTTGTCTTTTGAATTGAGATGTGTCTCCTGGAGGCAGCATATGGTTGAGTTTTGTTTTTTGAGCCAATCTGCAACTCTGTTTCTTTTTATTGGTGAGTTCAGTCCATTTACATTTAGAGCGATTATTGAAATATGAGGTTTTCCTATAGCCATTTTATCTTTTGCTTTCTGGTAGCTCTGTGTTTCCATTGCTTCCTTGTCCTTGTGTTTCTGTTTGTTTGTTTGTTTGTTTTTATTTTGTCTGGTTATGTTGATTTTTATTCTGATTTTTCTTGTTTTATGCTATATACTTTGCTTCTGAATCTTTGGCGTGTGGTTACCATTACAAATATGTAAAAGATAGTTATATACATCTAGTAGTCCATTTCCTTCTGTGTGTGCTTCATCTCCATTTCCTTTCATGAATTTGGATTTTCAAATCCTCCCATTTTCTTTTATTGTTGTCTTAATTTGTTACTGTGTATGCCGAATGTTTATTACTATCTTGCTATAGCAAATCTCTCCTTATTGTTTAAGCTTATAATGCCCTGTTCTTAGTAAGGGTTGCACTCCTCTGCTTCTATCTGTCTGCTAGTCACCTTACTCATAGTTATGTATTTCTTTGTCATTTTGTTTTAGGTGAGCTGATCCTTTTTAGTATTTCCTGTAATGCAGGCCTCGTAGTGGAAATTTCCCTCAATTTATGTATGTCTGGAAAGGAGTTTATTTCTTCTTCATATCTAAGGGAGATCTTTGCTGAATGCATTATTCTTGGCTGGTAGTTCTTTTCATTTACTAGTTTGAACATTTGATTCCACTCCTTTCTTGCTTGTAAGGTTTGTGCTGAGAAGTCTGACAATAATCTCATGGGTTTTCCTTTATAAGTTACCGTCTTCTTTTCCCTGGCTGCCCTGAGAATTCTTTCTTGTCATTAATTTTTGATAATTTTAATAATGTGTCTTGGAGAAGGACTTTTTGGGTTGAGATAATTGAGTGTTCTGTTGACTTCTTGAATTCCAAGCTCTAATTCATTCCTTAGATTTGGGAAGTTCTCATCAGCTATTTGTCTGAAAATGCTTTCTAATCCCTGTTCCTTTTCTTCTCCTTTGAGAATCCCATCAGTCTTATGTTTCCTCTCCTGATGGTATCAGTTAGTTCTTTTATTTCTCTTTTATTATTTTTTATTCTTTGATTTCTCTCTTCTTTCTTCTGATTTATTTCTAGATTTCTGTCTTTGATCTTTTCTTCCATTTGGTTGACTCTATTTCCCAAGCTTGCTATTTTATGCATCATGTCTTTTAGTATGGTCTTCATCTCCAGAAGTTCTGCTTGGTTCTTTTTAAGGGTTTTAGTCTCCTTACTAAAAACAAAACAAAACAAAAAACAAAAACAAAACAACAACAAAAAAACATTCTGCTGATCTAGTTGTTTTTTTCATTCCTAGAAGTGTTGGTATGAATTATTTTGGATCTCATTGAGTTTTTTAGAAGTACCATCCTGAATTCTCTGTTATTTAAGTTGCATATTTCTATGTCTGTAAGCTTATTTTCTGGAGATTTTTTTTCTTTCTTTCTGAGATGACTTGTCACCTTGGTTGTTCATAGTGTTTAAAGGACTATTTCTCCACCTGGGCATTAATGGAAATGTATTCTGCTTTTTTTCCAGAAAGAAGATTCATTATATAAAGGTTACTCTTTAGCCTGTTGCTAAGAAGGCATTTTTCTTTAGGTTTCCAGTAGGTGGCATCTAAGCCTCTCAGATCCCTGCTTTATATAAAGCCTTAATAATGCCTTTTTTTTTCCTTATAAATATTCAATCACAATCACTACTCTCAGTCTCAGTCCCTGTCAGTGTTAGCGATAGTTTCGATAGTGTTTGCTCAGATTCCCCTGGGGCTCTGCAATTTTGGGGATCGGATGATATGGGGGAAGGTGCTTTTTGGGTTGGAGGATGGGAGTTGTAGCTCAGCCTTGCATTTTGCAACCATGGCTGGTAATAATCAGTTGTTGCTTCTCTGCCATTCCCACTTCTCTGCTTTCTGCCCTGATCCCTGGGCTTTGCCACTGCATGGAGCTCACAGCTCTCAGGCAGGACTATTCAGGATACCTCCTGCACCTTCTCTTCTCCCCTTCCTCCTGCAGGAGCTCCAGCTGTGAGAGACAACTTCTTTGTTTCTCCTGGTCTACCTCCCTGCTGAGACGGTTCTGACCTGTGGTAGCTCTTATTCGTAGATTGCTCGCTCAGACATACTGGTGTGCAGTTTGGGTGGTTTTTTGTTGTTGTTGAGTTTTAGATGTTCAGCTTATTGTTATTTCAAAGGGAGAGATATGGGGACATCTCTCACTCCGCCATGCTTCTGACGTCACCCCAGTACTTGTAAAGTTATGTCTTTGTGGGTGATTCAGAAGCTATGATATCTTTCCTCGAATTTCAAGAACTTGTTTTCATATTTTGAGGCAATTCATATAAATAATAGAAAATTGTGAAGTCTCTGGTTTAAGCCTTGAAAACTTAAATGCTATGGGGCATGACAATGGCCTTCTTTGTTTATATATTTTTGTGCCTCTTTAAACCTAGTACTCTGTGTGGATTGTGATGAGGTCTTTATGTGAAATCGGGGTGGTTTGTTAAGCCTAGAAAACAAATGTCCTTGACTTGTTTTACATGTGGTCCCACAACACGTCTGGATTTGACCCTACTCTCTAATTGAAGATTATCAATGCAGGATTTGTCATAGAAGCAGAGGCTAAGAGAGTGCTCACTGAAGAACAAGTAAGAGACTTCTATAGTCGAATAGCAGACCAGGTAAGAAAGTTAAAAAAAAAAAGCCACTGTGTTTTCAAATGCAGTGGATTCTTATAATTTTAGATCCTCATTATAGAAAATCAAATGAATAAGTGTGACCAACAAAATAAGCTCTTGGTGTTCTATTGGTGTCCATATCGTGGTAATGTCAAAGATGATGGCTCTGGAGAAATCTTCAGTAGAAATAGTGGCAGCCAAGCAAAAGTGAATGATCCGATTGTGTTCTTTTGGAGTGATGATCTCTTTATGTTACTTACTTGAAAACTCCCTGCATCACCTCTGGAAGTGAATATTCATTCAGGCCATCTCTATACATTTTTATACCATTTTGAAGAATCCTTGTCATACACTTCACAGGAAAGTTGTAATTTTTTTCTGTACCCAAAGGACTTTCTCGCAATCTATTTTTTTAAGTTCTCTCTAGCCTGAAGAAATATGACAAAGGCAGCACTGTATATTGAAAAGTGCACTGGCTTGGGGATCAGGAGACAGAGTTTGTACAAATGCACTGTCCAATATGGTAGCCATTAGATACATGTGGCCTTTTGAATTTAAATTAAATAAAATTAAATAAAAATTCAGAATCTCAGTTGTACTACCTACATTTTAAATGATCCATAGCTGCATATGACTACATATGTTGGAGAGCACAGGACATGTTTGTTGTCACAGAAAGTTCTGCTGAACAGCACTTTATAAATTAGCTAAACCAGTCAAACCATCTTTTTCGGCCCCAGAAAGGAGTTGGAACAGCTCCATCAATATCACCTAGGAACTTTTGAGACAATCCAATTCCTGGGCCCCGTCCTAAATCCACTGAATCATAAACTCTGGGATTGGACTCCAGAAACCTGTGTTTTAATAAGCCCTCCAGAATATTTGGAAGATTCTAAAGTGTGAAATAGTTATAGCTTGTCTAAAATCAATCCCTGCTAACCGTGAACTTCTTCAAAAATGTATTTGTTAATAAGAGCTTTATAAAGATACCATCCCCATCCCCTAATCATGAAAGGGAAGATGCCACTTGACTTAGGTAGTGGCTGTCATGTTAGTCTATACATTTCAAGAATCTGAACAGTTTGTCATTTTATTTTGCAGCCTGACTTTGAAGATTTTGTCCCTTTAATGACAAATGGCCTAAGCTATATTCTAGTTATATCTCAAGGAAATAAACAAGAGCCTCCCTGGGAAGAAACTGTAGCTAATCCCGAGTCTGAACTTGAACCATCTGAGGGTCAACATGAAATGACCACACCTACAGTGATGGAGAAGAAGTGGGACAGGTAGCTTGAGACCAGTAATTTATCATTTACAATGTCTTAGTAGGTAATGTCCAAATATCTCAAAATCTGAAGACAAATATTTTATGTCGAAAAATTTGTAATTATTTCTTCCAGTCAATCTAAAATACGATATATTTAGCAAAGCTGGGATTGTCCTGAATGTTTATATCAAAAGGATTAGCAAGGGAAGAACTTTCCATTTGTCTTTCTACAGCTTGGCATACCAGTCTGGCCTCATGGGCTGGGGTTCTAGGGGTATATCATGGCCATGAACAATCCCTCCCAACTCCATGTCTTCTCTCATCTCCCTACATTTCACTTCCACCTTCCCTGTGTCCTACAGACATCAAATGTACTCTTCCCTTTTACTTAAAGCCGTTAGTGGTTATACATTGCTAGGAATTAAGTAGTTGTATGTTTTTGTTAATGGTTTTTAAATATGTAAATAATTTATAGAATCTTGGTTTTATGCACTGCTATCTGTGCATTTTATTTATCTGAAGACTCAGAAAATCCAGTTTGACACAAAGGCTATCTGAGCTGTGCCTAAAAGAAAAGTGAGTGAGCAGGAATATAATGAGAGCAGCTGTCTTGAGGCTTCATGATGTGTGCCTTACCATGCTGGGAAGCCCATCTCCATTGTACCTTCTGCCTGGGAATCTCCAGAACTTTCCTTGTTGTCTTATTACTGAATCATTGTGGCTTTTCTTAAGTAGCTACATCTGCTTGTTCCTGCTAGTTTTCAGGTAGCAGGGAGACCCTAATTAATATAAATCCAAGTTTTAAGTGGGATAGAGGGACTCATAAGGTAAATCAACTGCTGACATAGTCTTTGTAAATAGTGTTACTTACTTTCAGAGTTTTAAGAGAAAATAATGATCAGTGGTCAGAAGGAAGATTTGGGTAGGCAGAGTTTAGCTCAAAAAGATATTAGATTTTATACCAGAATTTTTCAGCCATACAAAAAGTGTTCTGTGAAACAGTCATTAATACCAAGTGACGTAAAAGAAGTCAATATTGCATGGTGCTGTTGTTCAGGTAAATCTCCATTACGACCAACTTTGAGACGCAGTTGTCTCCAATTGTTCAATACCCATATAACAAGATGAACAATTTAGGCAACTGTCAGGGTGGAGGTGAAGTGAGATGTGTTAACTTTGTTTTGGCAAAGTCTGTAGCATTTTTTTTCTAAACTTAGAGATTCCTTTTGCCTTTGGCCCATGTTTATCCAAAGCAGTGGCCAGAAGCAGGCAGCATGGAGTGATGGGGAGCATGTTTGTCTGGGTATCAGTTTTCACAGCTGCCTCCAGAACAACAGGTGTACAGTATAGTGGTTAGACATTTATATAATTTACAAAGTGATCCTCTCAATTAGTCTAGTACCCACCTGTCACCATACATAGTCATAACAATATTATTGACTATATTCCCTATGTTGTACTTCATATCCCTGTGACTATTTCGTAACTACCAATTTGTACTTAATCCTTTCACCTTTTCACCCAGCCCCCCAAACCTCCTCATATCTAGCATTTGCCAGTTTGTTCTCTGTATCTATGAGTCTGTTTCTGTTTTGTTTTTTAGTATTTTTTGTTATTTGAATTCCAAATGTAAGTGAAATCATATGATATTTTTCTTAATCTCTCTGATTTATTTCACTTAGCATAATACCCTCTAAGTCCATCCATGTTGTCCCAAATGGTAAGATTTCTTTCTTTATATTCCATTGTATATGTGGACCACTTCTTCTTTATCCATTCATCTATTGATGGGCACTTAGGTTGCTTCTATATCCTGACTAGCACTGCAGTGAACATAGGAATGCATATATCTTTTTGAATTAGTGTTTTGATTTTATTTGAATAAATAACCAGGAAAATGAGTTGCTGAGCCTTAAGCTATTTCTATTTTTTAATTTTTTGAGGAAACTCCAAACTGTTTTTCATAGTGGCTGTATCAATTTGCAATCCCACAATGGTACAGGAGTATTCTTTTTACTCTATATCCTCACCAACACTTGTTATTTTTTGATTTATCGATGATGGCTGTTCCAACAAGTGTGAAATGACATCCCATTGTAGTTTTAATTTGCATTTCTCTGATTAATCATGAAGTGACATTGAGCATCTTTTCATCTGTATGTCCTCTTTGGAGGAATGTCTATTCAGGTCATGTGCTCATTTTTAAATTGAATTATTTGTTTTCTTGGTGTTGAGTTGTATGAGTTCTTTATTTTGGATATTAACCCCTTATTAGTTGTATCATTGGTAAATATCTTTTCCCATTTAGTAGGCTGTCTTTTCATTTTGGGTATGATTTTCTTTGCTGTGCAAAAACTTTTTTGTTTGTTTGTTTCTGTTGCTGGAGGAGATATGTCAGGAAAAAATATTACTAAGAGCAGTGTCAGAGAGTCTACTGCCTATGTTTTCTTCTAGAGTTTTTATGGTTTCAGGTCTTACATTTAAGTCTTTAATCCATTTTGAGTTTATTCTTGTAGATGTCTGTAATCTTTGACATTTTAATTATGACATGTCTTGGTGAGCACCTGTTTGGATTCATCGTGTTTGAGACTCTCTTATGTGCTTCCTGGACTTGAATGTCTATTTATTTCTTTCATTAGATTAGAAAAGTTTTCTGTCATTTTTTTCTTCAAATCAGTCCCTTCCTCTCTGTCTTCTCCTTATGACATTCCTATGATGTAAATGCTGTTATGCTTGATGTTGTCCCAGAGGTCCATTAAAACTATCCTCATTTCTTTGATTCTTTTTTCTTTTTACTCTTCCAATTGGGTGTTTTCTGCTACTTTGTCTTCCAAGTGGCTGATTTGATCCTCTGCTTCATCTAATGTGTTCTTGATTCTCTCTAGTATATTCTTCATTTTGGTTATTGTATTTTTATTTCTGACATTTAAAAAATCATTTTTATGTCCTTTTTTATGCTTACTGTCTCTTTGTTGAAGTTCTCATTAAGTTCCTTGATCATTCTTATAACCAGAGTTTTGAACTCTGTCTCTGGTAGATTGCCTGCCATCATTTTATTTATTTTATTTTATTTTTATTTTTTTTAAGTTTTGTCCTGTTCTTTCATTTGGAACATGTTTCTTTGTCTTTCCTTTCCTTTTTGACTGTCTCCTTGTGTTTGTTTCTGTGTATTAGGTTGACCTGCTATGTCTCACAGTCTTGGCAGAGTAATAGGTGTCACTTATGTTGTAGGTGCCCCTAGGGGCCAAATGGCACAGTATCTATGGTCACTTGAGCCAGTTGCTCTAAGATTGTCCCTTGTGTGGGCTGTGTGTGTCTTTCTGGTGTAGTTGAGCCTTGATTGCTGTTGACACATCAGTGGGTGGAATTGACCCTTAGGCTGACTGGTTGTGCATATTGGCTATAACCATAGGATATGGGCTGTTGTTCGTCGCTGATCCCATGGAGTGAGATTCGTCCTAATGGGCACTGGTGCCTACTGAGACCACCCGCTGGGTGTGCCACTTGCGGGGTTAATCAGGTGGTGCTCTGTTGTGGTCAGAAGCTGGCTACCAAGTATGTCATTTCTCGGGCTTTTGGGAAGCACTCCTTTGCAGGCCTAGATCAACCGCTGCCTGTGACCTGCCTGGGGATTCCTGGTAGGAGCTACAAAGCAGTCTGCATTTGATTGCTGCCTTTGCTGGACCTGGAGGCACATGGGAGAGACCACACTGAAAACTGTGACCTATTGCCACTAGTACTGCCTGGCATATCTTAGCAAAAGGCCCAGGGCACCTTAAGACTTGATCTTGCCTCCTTGCTCTCCCTAAGGCTCACCTGCTAAAGAGCCTCAGATGCAAGTTGGATGAGGCAAGGTCTCACAGAATCACCAGGGTGGGGTTAATGGTATTCACCAGGTTAATGCAGATTCAAATTTTGTACCAGTGCTGAGCCTGGGGCCACTTAGCAAAAGACACAGAGCACACTGAAGCCATCTGACTCTTACCTGGGGCCCATGGACCCCTAAGAGTTGTCCAGGAAAGACTACAGCATAGGCCTACCCTGGCTTCCCACTGCAAAAGACCTTCAGGCGGTGCTCAGGTTGCATGGGGCAGGGTACCAGGGAGTCACTAAGGTGAAGCGAGCAGAGTTCACCAGGCAATGCAGATTCAGATTTTGAGATATGATTTATCTTTATGTGAAATTAAATTTGTATTTGTTTTACTATACCCTAAATTATTTGTGAATATATTACCAGTTTTAATTTTCTGGCATGGGGTTATTAAACTTCACTTTATAATATCTTAAATTATATTTTGGATTTCAACAGTTTACAAGACTATATAGAAAGACAACATCTATCTCAGTTTTGTGATATTGAAGAGAATATAGCTAATGTTAATAAGTTTATTGATACCTTCTTCCCTGATTTTAAAAGTATAACAAGCATAAAATTAGAAAGAATAATGGCATTACTTCGACCAGATCTCTTTAAAAAAAAGAAAGGTAAGAAATAAAGTATAAATCGTTTAACTATTTCATACATGGGATTCAAATAAACTGTAGTATAATTATATTAAAATATTGTTTTAAAATTTAACTTTGAAGAAAAAATATCTAAAGTAAAATATTAATTTACTAATTTCTCAATAATAAAGAATAAAACATTTCTGTAGTTGAAGAGTTTTCAAAGTATTGTCTAAGCTATGAATTTGTTAGAGTAGATTTTAACACGGCAGGAATTATTACATAATAAAGACTATATGCTTTCATGTCTGAAATGCTTTGATTCAAAACTTGAATCAACACCTTATTAATAGTGTGATTTGAAAAAATACTTTACCAACTCTATTTCTTTTTGTGTAAAATTCAGAAGATTAAAATGAGAAACAAAGTGCTTGGCACTTACAAAGTTATTTTTAACCTCATCCCATATTCACAAAGCAGAGTGAACATTGCAGAGTAAGAACATAAACCATAAATTCACACTATTAATTCTTTCTCAAACCTAGTGTATGAAAATATAATGTTATTTGTATATTGATCTTGTATTCTCTGACTTGCTGAACTCACCTAGTTCTAGAAGTTTTGATGTAGTCTCCTTGAGAATTTTTATGTAGACTAGGATTTCTTAACCTCAGACCTACTTCAAGTTGGGGCTAGATAGATTTTTGTCGAGGAAGACTCTGTCATATGCATTGTAAAATGTTTATAACACCCTTGGCCTCTACTCACTACATGCCAATAGCATTCCTCTATTCTCAGTTGTGACAACCAAAAATGTCTCCAGACACTGTCAAAGGCACCCCTGGGTCACAAAATATCTGGCTGAGAATCATTAATGTAGACAATATCATCTGCAAATCAAGACTGTTTTACCTCTTCCTTTCTAATCTGTATGCCTTTTATTTTTTTTGCTTACCTCATTGGGCTGACTAGCTAGAACTTTCTATATGATGTTGAATAGAAGAGGTGAAAGTAGACACATTTGCCTTGTTCCTGACTTTATAGAGAAAGCATTCAGTCCTTTAACATTAAATATAATGTTAGTTCTATCTATACTTTATCAAATTAAGAAAACTTCCACCTATTCTTAGTTTGAGGAGATTTCTTTTTCTTTCTTTCTTTCTTTCTTTCTTTCTTTCTTTCTTTCTTTCTTTCTTTCTTTCTTTCTTTCTTTCTTTCTTTCTTTCTCTCTCTCTCTCTCTCTCTCTCTCTCTCTCTCTCTCTCTCTCTCTCTTTCTTTCTTTCTTCTCTTTCTTTATCACAAGTGGATGTTGTATTTTCTCAAATATTTTTTTCTGTTTCTACTGATATGATTGTTTTTTTTATTTTCCTGAATTTGATACTATGACAATTACTTTGATTTATGAATGTTGTATCAGCCTTGCATTCTCTAGATATACCACACTTGATAATTGTATATTGTCCTTTTTACATATTTCTGGATTTGATTTTTTAATATTTTGTTGAGGACTTTTGTGGTTATATTCAATAGGGTTATTTGTTTTCTTTTCTTGTAATGTCTTTATCTGGTTTTGATGTCAGCATAATGAGGGCCTTATAAAATGAGATGAGAATTAGTCATTCCTCTTATTTTCTGTAAGAGATAGGATTAATTGGTTTTATATTTTTCTTAAGTGTTTAGTGTAATTTACTGGTAAAACTATCTGGGCTTAGAGTTTTCTTCTTTGTAATGTTTTATTTACCTTTTAAAATCTTTTTTTTAATATGTACATATTTTAAGTGAATAGACTTCATAATTTAGAACAATTATAGATTTATAAAAATATTAAGAGGGATAGTACAGAGTTCCCATATGCTTGCCTAACAGTTTCTCCAATTAACATCGTATGTTATTGTGATATGTTTTTACAATTTAGTTTACATTAAGGTTTACTCTTTGTTTTGTACATTTTATGGTTTTTGATAAATGTATAATGTCATGTACCTCCTTTATAGTTTCATACAGAATAGAATCACTGCCCTAAAAATCTCTTGTGCTTCATCTTTTTATTCCCCTCTTTCTCCCTCCTAAATCCAGGCAACCACTGATCTTTTTTCTGTCTCTATAGTTTTGCCTTTTTCAAAATGTTATACAGTTGGAATCATACAGTATATAACCTTTTCCGACTGATTTCTTTTACTTAACAGTATGCATTTCAGGTTCCTCAGTGTCTTTCTGTGGCTTGATGGCTCATTTATTTTATTGCTGAATAATATTCTATTGTATGGATGTATCAAAGTTTTTCCAGTTACCTAATGAAGGACATCTTTGTTGTTCTCAGTTTAGGGCTATTATGAATAAAGCTACCATAGGCATTCATGTGCATTTTTTTGCATGTGTAAACAAAAGTTTTCAACTCAGTTGTGTAAATACCTAAGAGCATTCATACTATATCATATGATCTATGATTAAACTATGTTTAGCTTTGTAAGAAACTGTCAAAATGCCTTCCAAAGTGGCTGTACCATTTTCCATTACAAACAGCAATTAATGAGAGTTCCTGTTTCTCTACATCCTTGCCAACAGGTGGTTATTCAGATTTTTTTCCCCTATTCTAATACTATTCTAATAAGTATGTAATGATATCTCATGTTATCCTAATTTACAATTTATTAATGATATATGATGCTGAGTATCTTTTTATACACTAACCTCCATCTCTATATCTTCTTTGGTGAAGTGTCTCTTCAGATTTTTTTGCCCATTTTTACTTATTGTTGTGTTATAAGAGTTCTTCGTATATTGTGAACACAAGTCCTTTATATAAATGTGATTTTCAAATATTTTTCCAGATTTTTGGCTCTGTGGTTTTTAAACAGTGTCCTTTCCAAAAAAGTTTTTATCTTTAATATAGTCCAACTTATCGGGTTTTTTTTTCTTTTGGTTCTTTTAATGTTTATACTAAAAAATTATTGCCAAATCCAAGGTCACCTAGATTTTCTCCTCCTTTATCTTCTAGAAAATTTATAGTTAGGTATTTTACAATTAGATCTATAATCCATTTGAGTTAGTTTTTGTGAAAAATATAAAGTCTGTGTCTAGATTATTTTTTTCATGTGCATATTCAGTTTTTCGGGCACCATTTGTAGAAAAGTCTATCATTGCTCCACAGTACTACCTTTGCTTATTTGTCACAGATCAGGTGACTGCATTCATGTGGGTCTATTTCTGGGTTCTCTATTCTGTTCCATTGTTCTATGTGTCTATTTTTTTGCCTATCCCACACTGTCTTGATTACTATAATTTTATAATAAGTTTTAAAGTAGGTAGTTTCAGTCCTCCAACATTGTTTTTCTCTTTTAGTATTGAGTTGGCTATTCTGGGGTTTTGCCTTTCCATATAAACTTTAGAATGAGTTGTCAATATCCACATCCACAAAATAACTTGCTGGGCTTTTGATTGGGATTGTGTAGAACCTAGAAATCAAGTTAGGAAGAATTGACATCTTAACAATTTTGAGTCTTACTATTTATGAACAATGAATATGCCCCCATTTATTTAGATCTTTGATTCCTTTCATCAGAGTTTTGCAGTATTCCTCATTTAGGTTTTGTACATATTTTGTGAGATTTCTATTCATGAATTTCATTTTCTGTATGCTAATGTAAATGATATTATTTTAAATTTCAAATTCCAATATTCATTGTTGGTATATAGGAAAGTTATTGACTTCTGCATATTAATTGTAACCTGCAAACTTGCTATAATAGTCTCTTATTAGTTCCAGGAGTTTTGTTGTTTTGAGGGGATTTTCTATATAGACAATCATTTCATCTGTGAACAAAGACCATTTTATTCCTTCCTTCCCAATCTGTATATCCTATCTTTCCTTTTCTTGTGTTATTTCACTACCTAGGTTTTCTAGTATGATATTGAATAGAAATAGTGAGAGAGGTTAGCCTTGCATTGATTCCAGTCTTAGAGACAAAGCATATAGTATAGAAAATGTTTGCTAATGAGATACTTCCATGAGTGTGTGTGTACATATATCTGTATGATTCCCATGTCATGAAAAATTGGAAATAGAACCATAATCTGATATGAGTATTGCTCCCCTTAAATTAAAATCTAATGGGCTATTTGTTTTGCAAATTTAAAAATTTCATATTAGAATAAAATGCATTATATGCCCTTATGATAAATATATTCTATATTATGTGTATAAGCAATAATCTAGCAGTTTAAAACTCATGTGACTTTTATTTAGAGGATGTTTTGAATATTATTCAAGATGAAGGCTTTAAAATACTGATGCAAAGACAAATAGTATTATCAGAAGAAGAAGCACAAACACTGTGCAAGGAATATAAAAATGAAGATTATTTTGAAAATCTTATAGAAAACATGACCAGGTAAGGTAGAATTTAGGTGTAGAAAGCACAGTTTGACTTACTTTTGAATCATTTAAATCTTCTCTTAACTTTTATTTCTGTCAAGTTGCCAGTTCTCTCAATTCTGTAAACATGTGCTGAGTCTGCTTCTTTTCCAGTCTTCCTCCTATGTCGACTCTCTGCTCAAATATCGGTCTTCTCTAGTACTCTTGGAATATTATTAGAAAAATGGAAAGGTTCAGGTGAAGTTACTAGAGTCCAGTTCAGTTGAGTGGCAGACATCAGAGTGTGCAACAAGTCCAAGCAGAGGATTGACTGACTCTCAAAGGCTTTGATAATCCTAAGGATTACTAGTTCTAAAAGAGGAATGAAATGCTAGAAATCTATCAGATTTCTAGAAGAGTAAGTAAAATAGCAACTTGGGAAGAAATCCAGCAAGGTAATATAAATCTGCAGGATCATGGGAACAATATAGGAACCACTCTATCAGAATTAAGGCCCTTCTTTTTTACTTCAAATCGCTGCTTCCGTATTTTTATAAATATGTTCTTAAGAATCTTAATTTCAGACTCTTGATAAAAGGATTATTTTGACTTTTTGTAGTCTATTTAACATATACACTTGTATTACCTATGTATAATTAGCTACTGAGCCATACTTCTATTAACTTTGGTTTTTTTTTTTCTTTTCTAACAGTGGTACATCTTTAGCCCTTGTTTTATTAAGAGACAATGGTTTACAACACTGGAAAAAGTTAATTGGCCCAAACACTGTTGAAGAAGCAAAAGAATGTCTTCCAGAGAGGTCAGATTCATATCATGGGTCCCAAACTGTTTTCTTGGGAGCCATTATAATTTCTTTTTGGATATGAGGCACAGGAAATACAGCTCTAGTCCAAGGGAAGTTCTCAGGATAGATGGTTCTCCTTGGTCAGGAGTGGACTGCTCAGTGCCAGCCTGAATATGGCCAAAGATTTGCAAAAGAAGGTTGTGGATTGCTTGGTTTGGAGCTAGAAAGTAAGTGATGGATACCCAGCAAAAAAACTCCATCTACCTACCCCATTTATTATTTAGGAGAAATTCTTTTGAGAAGGGTATAATGGCAGCTGTAGATTCTTTAGTTTGCCATAAGCATTTTAAGACAATGATAACTTAATATGTTGTCTATAATTTGAGGAGAACCATTTCTAAGTTAGTTTACTGATGAATCTTAGATAACAATTAAACTTTGTAATCAATTCAAAACATGGCATGTTACCTGGCACATAAGGGGCACTCTGTAAATATCTTTTGATCTTAGCTGTCAGGCTTGTTATCATCTGGAGGATGGGGATAGAATCTCATGCATCATTCTCGTGATATAGTTAATGGAAACTAACTGAATTGTAATTCATTCGAATTCTTTGTGCCGATTGCAGGGTAGGATTTAATTCAGGGGAAGAAAGGCCTTTCCTTCATGTGAACAAGAATAGAGATGCTCTATCAGGCACAAGTAAACTTGACATATGTTTACACAATAAATAGCAGTACTTATGAAACATCACATATAAAAGTTAATTGGTTTCTTTTGGGCAGGATATCTTGAATCTGACTTGTTCCAAATGGATATATTATTTCTCTTTTTTAGCCCTACTCTCTTATGTCTTTGATCTTGTGTCAGAAAATAACTGTCAAGGATAATGTGGTGTGGACACTCCATAAATGGTTTGTGAGCAGAGTGCCATAGAACCTCTTAATGAAATGTAGTATAGAATGCAAAGCATAGCATCAGAGAGAAGAACTCCTACCAACACAAGGCCGATACCTGTAGACACACTCTTCTAGAAATTGTGATTCCAAGAATAGAGGTAGTGTACCTGCACAGAGACATTTTCTCCAGGTGAGGGCACTGAGTGGCTACCCTTCTCCATCCCACTATTGTAATGAGGATTCCCATCCAGAGCCCTTAAGATCTCTCTGTTGCTACAAGTTTACAACTAATCCTGACCCTTATTTTTTATTGGTCCCCACTTTTCCAATTTCCTTGGCTCAACTCAGGTCCTTCAGATTGTTTTAGAAATAACTCTTTCAATGGAGCTCTGTCCTTTTTCTGAACTTTGGTTTAAATTCTGCACTCTGCATTGCTTAATCTGAAATATGGGCACTTGCACAAAAGATAAATATAGCAGCCCCTCTATTTTATCCTTACACACACATACACACACACACACACACACACACACTTTTCCTAATAATCATGTTTAACAGCATAACAAAGGGGCTAGATGTAGTTCTCTGCAATGAATAAAGTAAGTGCTAGTGGTGGTTTAGGCTATTTTCATCATTCATTGTACAAATCCCCATCTCTGGCAATCACAGTTTCCAAGGATCTTAGGCTACAGGTATCTCCAAATCAGAGGTGGGAGAACAGCCAAGGCCCGAGTAGGAAGGTCAAGTAGGATAAAGCAAAAAGGAAATATAAATAGGTCACTGAAACCTGAGAGGCAAGAAGCTCCTGAAGCTCAAGACAGAAAATCAAGTTTCCAGTGATGTCACTCTATTAACATGAAGGGGCATTATTTACCATGGCTGGATTTGGGGGTTTGGCTGCTCAAGATTATGTGTAAAAGGTAGAAAATGCAATGAGCAGTAATAATTTCCTCTATTAAAATATACATAGATAGACAGAAAAAAAGAAATGAAAAAATTAGCAAGGAACAATTGATTTAGGAAATATATATTCATATATCATGTAGAAACAGAACCAGAACAAATTGTGTAACCTGGCATGGATTATCTAGGACCATCAACATCATTTCTGCCTCTTTACTGTCTGTGGGCTATCCCTTAGGCTCCTCTTTTGTTGCTGCTCTTGCTTACTGGAAGGGTTCTACTATAGTGTCTCCTGGATTTAATGTTTATAGTTTGGTATCTTTGGTATAGAGTCAAATGCTATCTCTAGTGCTTAATGATATTTAGTAGTAAAAGAAGGGAAAAGAATATTTATGAGAGCTTAATATGCACCATATATTTCAAATACATCATCTAATTACATCCTCACAATCACCTTCCAAAACAGGTTTTATTATCATATTTATATTCTAGACAACTAAAGCACAGAGAAGTTAAGTAATTGCTAAATATCATATAGCTAGCAAGTGGTGCAGTCAGGATTCTATAGTCTGCTTTGTCACTGCACCAGGACATCCATTGCTTCATTCACAGTTATCTGTCAACATCCATTACCAATTATTTAAATGTTCATGCCCTATCTTCCTAATGGCTATTACCTCCATCTAAGGAAGTAGCATGCCCTAAGCCATTCTGTAATTACTTCCTTTTGCACAATGCCTAGATCAGAAGTGAGTTGCTATTGCTTTTTTAACTTTTGAATAATTTATATAAATAGTGTTACATTGTATTGTGTTATATTATATTATGTTACATTATAACAGTTTTTCACTTGATTTCTTTCCCAAAGTTTATGTGTACAATTTGCAATGGAAAGTTTACCTATCAACCAGTTGTATGGAAGTGTTTCCTTAGAAGCTGCTGAAAGGGAAATACAGTATTTCTTTCCTCCTCAAAACACTTTAGGACTGATTAAACCTCATGTGACACAAGAACAAAGAGGTAAATATTTAAAAATAAAAGCCAGCATATACATTTTCCCTAAATTAGTGAAAATTTTCAAACTACAGAAAAGTTGAAAGAATAATGCAGTGAATACCTTCATCTCCAGAAAGTAGCCCTCAAAGTTTAGACTTTGATGAGATTATGACAAAATTTACTTTGATTTCCTCAATGGTGCCTTGCTGCTTCAGGGAGAAGAGCTCAGATTGGCACTCCTCTTCAATCAACATCTAGCAAGAAGTTCCTTGGCATCTGTAGTATGGAGATGAAAACATGTCTTCACTTTTAGCAAAAGAGATCACCTCCTCTCCCACTTTTATAGTCCACTAGATGTTTCGGGTATTTTCTGGAAAGATGGATCACAGATATTGAACATCTACATTAACACTTAAAGTTCTTCTGAATGTCAATCTGGTGCTTTTTAAGTTCAATTTAGTTTAGCATAGTTTTGGTTTTTAAACCACACTATGCAAGTAAAACTATTACTCCCTTTACTTATTTCAATCTACTTGGATAAGGAGCAAAAGTAAAGGCAATCTATATGATTAGCAACTGTTTGTTTTCTCTAGAGGAGATCTTTGACCTTATTAAAGAAGCTGGATTTGAGATAACACAGATGAAGGAAATGCTGCTAACTGAAGACCAAGCAGATAAAATTTATTTTAAAATAAAAAAAAAAGACTTTTATAAAGATGTATTAGAAATATTATCTGAGTAAGTTTCTGATATATATTTCTTTGCATTATGAAGTAGTAAATGTTCATTATAGAAACTTCGGAAAAGATAAAAATTAATCGAAACATTTCATATAATCTCATTTATAAAAAGGCACCCTGTTAATATTTGGGGTTCATTTTTATTTCCTTTCTTTCTTCTCTAGCTTTCTCTCCTTCCTCCCTCACTCCCTTCTTCCATCCCTCTTTCCTTCCTTCCTTCCAAAGTTGTTCTGGAAAGACCTTCCTTCCTTCCTTCCTTCCTTCCTTCCTTCCTTCCTTCCTTCTTTCCTTCCTTCCTTCCTTCCTTCCTGTACAGTTGTAAATAGCCCAAATTTTCTGAAACCTTTGTTATTTGCAGGGGTCCATCTTTGGTCATGGTTCTGACCAAGTGGAATGCTATTGCAGACTGGAGACGACTGATAGGTCCTGTAGACCCAGATGAAGGAAAACTATTGTCCCCAGACTCTATCCGGGCCAAATATGGAAAAAGTGTTTTGAGAAATGCTGTTCATGGATCATCTACTGTCCATGAGGCAATGGAGACCATTAATAAAATGTTTGAAGAGGCTGTTCCTGAGAATCCTGAGCAAAACTAAAGTACCATACCTATTTAATTATTATTTCTCTTTCTTTTGTTGTTAAAGTGGCTGGGTCTAGGACAAAGTTGTTCTGGAAAGACCAGAACTTTATTCATATCCCTGAATTAAACTTTTTTTCCTGCCAGACACACTATGCTCTTCCATAGCAGCCCTGAAGCCTCAAAGCCAAGCCTTGTATGTGCCAGGGACCTAGCAGAGAGTGGGGCAAGCAAGATACCCTTGGGTTTGCAAACCTTGGTCTCAAACTGTTTATGCTATCTGCCATGACAGTCTCATGAAGTCTCTTCTTGACCATCCTCCATGTCTCCACTTTGAAATGCCAAGGTCTCATTCATCAGCCTCAACTCTATCCACTAAGTATTTAGAAACTTGGAACCTACTGACTACCTATGAGTGATATATGATAATATAATAGAATATTAGAAATTACAGAGCAAAAGGCAATCATTTCTATTCCTTGGCAAAGAGATTCTTATTGGGGGAAAGGTAGCCATGTAATATGTATGTGGATTAAGTCTACTTAGTTGTTGATCTAAAACTTGAAAATTTTTCTATCTCGGGCAATGTGGGAGATAGAGTGTAAGATAGATGACTTTTCCCACCACACCAACTTTCCTTCTTTATTTTCAAAGAGCAGGTTCACAAATGTACATATATGCATGGCTCTGGATGCTGACTTGAATATGACCATAGAGACTCTTCACATGTGGACTGTTGTCCCCAGCTAGATGAGAAAAATAGATAATTTGTCTCCTGGGCATAATGAGAAAGCAATGTGAAATGGAAAAACCTCTCCACACCCATCCAGTTTCTTCAGGGGGAGAAGAGTATATTGTGCCCTAATATTGTCATTTAGGCTATGATTTATCCAGGTATAAGACAATTGTATCAAAACGTTAGATGCAAAAATAAAAGTAAATTCTGGCATAGTACAGCTCATCCCATAAGTCTTACTCAATTACGATTCATAAACATTTATGTTGGGAAAATATGTATTGTATATCTGCTTGAACTCTGAGTTCTTGGTTAATAGAAAACTAGTTAAATGAAGGTTGTTACCTTCAGGGAAATGCAGATCTAATGGGTAGACAAAACTCACAGAAATTATATCTAATTATAATCACTATAAGACAGTACATTATTAAGCATGTCAGTGGCGAATAACTGGGCCTGGGGTGGTAAGTGGAGCTACATTCTGTTTACAGCATCTATTAGCAACATGGTATATATTAACCCCAACATTTGCATATCCCTCTCTTTTTTGATGAAAGGAGCATTATGAATTATATCAAGGATTTTGAATTAGTATATAATTTAGTGCTGAATTGACAGGTGTGTATTTGATAAGTAGGAGCTAGAGAAGGTAAGGATTAAAATATATTGAATGAACAGTAGGATTTTCAAAATCAGAGGTAAGGAAGCAAGAAAGAAAATTCAGTTTTAAAAGTTTCTAAACTGTGTGTGTGTGTGTGTGTGTGTGTGTGTGTGTGTGTGCGTGAGTGTGTACATGTATGCTTATATATAAAAACATTTTGCTGGTTCCTGTTACTATGCCTACTATGTACTATATCATATTATTCTGAGGGTTAGTATTGTGAATCTGTTTCAGATATTCAAGAATATGTGATTAGATCTTGCTGTATACTGGACACTGTTGCAGGGCTGAATACACACAGTTCTCATCTTAAAGGAGATTAGGACTCTAAAAGCAAGAAATAAAATATTAACATATGTCCTAAGGTTCTTAGGGGTAAGCACAGAGTGTTTTGAGCAGATGTATATAGGAAATGGAGAAGGAAAATGAGATGTAAGCCATCTGGACAGGAGGAATTTAAACAATCAAAGTGGAAGATGATAGCAACCTGAACTAATGTAGAAATGATGAATTGGTGATAAGTGGAATAATCAGAGAATTCTTAGAAGGCTACACTGCATCCACAGAACTTGATGACTAACTACCAGTCTACCAAATAAATGGGAAAATATAAAGATTCCTGGCTTGAGTAACTGAAGAAATGATCTAACCATTCCTAGATAGGAAGCACAGAAAAGAGAAATATGTTAGAAGGAAATACTATGAGTTCTGTTTCAGTCATGTTGAAAGTAAGTCAGGCCCTCAGTGTAGTAGAGTCAAGAAGGCCCCATTGGAATGACTTCAGCAAAATGATAGAGTAGGCAGCTATAAGCTCCCATCCCTCCATAGGAACATTGAAAAAACAAGCAGAAATTATCAGACAAATTTTGTCAGAGCTCTGGAAAATAATCAAAGGTTTACAGTAACCAACTTAAAAATGATATGAAAGCTTTGTGACATTTTAATTTGCCCATTCCCTACCACTTCCCAGCATGGTGACAGCTTTGAAGACTGCAGCCTGTGTTCTCACCATATAACTTCAGTCTCTAGTTCCAGAGAGAATAACACAAATATTATTAACAAATTATTGTTTGTTTGTTTGTTTTCTGTTCTACCCTGTCTGGACATTACCTGAAGGATGACACGAGACATTCATCTCTGTTTTACCCAGACAGCACTCAGGGAGGAAAAAGTAATGGGCATTACTTGAAAACATTGCATGTTGAGAAAAACTCCCTCATAGCTTCCTGAGGCTAAAGATTATAGATGAGATATACAACGGATTACCTAAAGCAGGGAGGAATAGCTGAGGGGAGAGTTTCTTTGGGAAATTAGGGCATTCAGAAACACTGGCACATACTGGGGAATGTAAAAGGCAATGCATGTTGAACAAGATACATGTTCAGAAAAGAGCTGAGAAACCTGAAGTTTTCACCATTGGTGATCTGTAGGCTCAGTGCAAGCAGAAAATAAAAAGTGAGGCAGAATTGTAAATGGCATGGTTAAGCTTTAAAGAATTTCTGTAGCATAGAGCCAATCCAGAAAGATTCGATTAGGTTGTTTATTGTTATAGCTGCTGCTGCTGCTGCTGCTGCTGCTGCTGCTGCTGCTGCTGCTATTATTTTTGAACTCCTGGATGTCAGGGAAATTTTATTCAAAACGGCTGGCTGAACACAAACTAAGTCTTCACCAATCAAGAAGAGCAGAGCCTGGGAACAGGTAAAATCTGATTTCCAGAGTTACCACATTATAATAGTTGAACATCCAGTTTTCACTTAAAAAAATCACAGAACATACAAAGAAATAAGAAATTATGGCCTATTCACAGGAAAAAAAAATTGACAGAAACCATTTCTGAGGAATCCCAGTGATTGGACTTTCTAAGTGAAGAGTTTAAATCAATTGTCTTAATGTAATCATGGAGTTCAGGAATCCATGGATAAAAGAAATAGAGAAAATGATGTAGGAACAAAATGAGAATATCAAAAAAGAGAAATTTTAAAAGTAAACCAAACAGGAATTCTGGAGCTGAAGAAAGTGCAGTAACTGAATTAAAAAATTCACTAGAGTGTTCAAAACAAATTTGAGTAGGCAGAAGAAAGAATCAGTGAACTGTAAGATAAGACAGTGGGAATTATCCAGTCTGAGGAGCAGAAATAAAAACAAAAAAGAAGAAGAAGAAAAGTGGACATAGCCTAAAGGATCTATAGGAGACTATCAAGCAGACCAGCATATACATTATGGGATTCCTAGAAGAAAAGGAGTGGGAGAAAGGAGCAGAAAGAATATTTGAAGAAATAATGACTGAAAACTTTTCAAATATAATGGAATGCCTAAATTCACACATCCAAGGAGCTAAATAAACTCTAAGCAGGATAAACTCAAAGAGATTTACAGTGAGACACATTATAGTCAATTTGTCAAAAGCTAAAGACAAAGAGAATCTTAAGGGCAGTACATGAAAAGCAATTTATTATATACATGGAATCTCAATAACAGCTGACTTCTTATCAGACACCAGAGAGGCAAGAAAGCAGTGAGATAACACATTTAAAGTTATGAAAGAAAAAACCTCAACCAAGAATTCTATATCTAGCAAAAGTATCCATCAAGAATCCCAAGTTAACAAAAATAAAGGAGTTTGTTACTAATAGGCCTGCTCTATAAGAAATGCTAAAGGAAGTATTTCAAACTGAAATTAAAGGATACTGGACCATAACTCAAAGCCATATAAAAAAACAAAGAACACTGGTAGAGTATATAGGTAAATATTAAAGCCAGTATTATTGTACTTTTGGTTTATCTTCTTTTTTTCCTATGCTATAAAAAATGCAAATAATTAAAAATGATTATAGACACATGTTAATTGGCACACAATGTATAAATATGGAGTCTGTGACAATAATAATATAAAAGAGAAAGAGACAGATTTATAGAAGTTTGTATACTATTAAAACTACATTCGTATTATTTAATTGGGTTGTTATAAGTTTAAGATGTTAATTGTAACTCCCAAGGTAACGACTACATATAATTTTTTAATTACAGAAAAAAAAGAATCAAGTGGTACACTACACACACAAAAAAAATAAACCAAAAACAAAAAGCCAGTAATGGAAGAACTGAGGAACAAAAACATATATGACATACAGAAAACAAATAGCTAAATGGCATGAGTAAGTCTTTCCTAGTCATTAATGACTTTAAATGGAGTAAATTTTCTTATTTAAGGGCAGAGATTGGCAGGATGGGTTAAAACATGTGATCCACACAGACATACCTTGTTTCATTGTGCTTTGCACATACTGTGTTTTTTACAATATGAAGGCAAGACCCTCCACCAGCAAAAAAGATTACAACTTGCTGAAGCTTCAGATAATGGTTAGAATTTTTTTTAGCAATAAAGTTTTTTAAATTGATATATATGTGATTCTTTTTTTAGACAACATGCTATTACACTCAATAGAATATAGTATAGTGTAAATATAACTTTTATATGTACTGTGAAACCAAAAAGTTTGTGTTATTTACTTATAGTGATATTTACTGTTTGTGTTGGTCTGGAACCAAATCTGCAATATCTCCAAAGTAGGCCTGTATATGCTGTCTACAAGAGATTCACTTAAGATCCAAAGACACAAAG